GTGCTGAGCCGGTGGGGGGGCATGGTCCAACCAGAGGCCAGGCTGGCTTCCTGGGGCGCCAGAGCCTCGCCTCTTCAGGACAGCCAACCCCCCACTCGGGAGAAAAAGCCCCGTTTGTCCCCATTCTCTCAGGATGAGTTCAAGACCCCCAGGTGGCAGTGGGTGGCAGGTACCCTCCTCACACCGCACCCAGGGCTGTGTGTGGCTCTGCGGGAGCCCCGAGGCCTGGCTCCCATCCCCAGCCCCAGGGGGAAGACAGAGTGGGGTTTTCATGGCCATCTCTGCGTACCAGTGACAAAGTCTGACTGCGGACCAGGCCCAGTGAGACACGCTGACAATGGGAATGGTAATTAGGACAATTCCAACCACAGGCTGCACTACAGGGCATTGAGACTTGGGAATTTCTCTAGGATTTTCCACTTCATATTTTCAGATGGCAGATGACGTGGGTGACTGAGACCGTGGACAAGGCAGATCTACTGTGTGTGTCTCCAAAGAATGACGGTGGCTTCCTCCCTTGGACTCTGGTTTTTCTCCCCAGGTAAAAAATATTTGGCAATTTGGGAGTCAGCGTTCCAGTGGGAGAACCTGGGCAAGATCCTTAAGCCTCTGAGCCAGAGCGTGACAGAGTGCCAGCCCCGCGAGGCTGCACACACACATGGTAGGAAGGAGGTAACCGCCAGGCCCTGGCCCGCTCCTGGTCTCTGCCTGGGGAAACGCCTCGTGCCTCCTGGCCAGGCCCAGGGTCCTCCTAGGGATCAGCAGAATGGGACCCACCCTGCTACCTGCAGAGCACGGCCCAGGGTGGGGGCCACACTCCCACCTCCAACGGAGCCAGCGGAGAGGACAGAGAGGACAGAGAGGACAGAGAGCAGTGGCCGCAGGGAGGCCTGCACTCAGAGGAGGATGCAAACAGCATGTGAGTGGCCCCTGGGTGGCCCACAGAAGAGGCAAGCCCTGGGAAGGCTGCTAACGTCGGCACAGGGCGGCACCAGGAGCCGCCAGCCACTGAGAAGGCTCTGAGCTCCATTGGGATGTCTCTGACTTGGGCCACGTCCTCCGTCTGGGCGACTTCCGAAACAAGCCGTTCTAACATGAATCCCAGGCCAGAGTTTCCTCTTAAAGTGGTTTGTGCTGTGGGGGAGTCTCTGGGAGAGGCTGAGGACGCGTTTTTGAAGTCCAGTTTTCCCGTCAGTTAACAGTCTAGACAAAAGCGTGCTCAGGAAGGACAAACCCACACCTACAGATTGCCTCGTGCCTCTCACCACAGCATAGGCACTTACACGCTGCAGGAAACGAAGCCTGTGCCCAGCAGCAGAGGCT